ATAGACTGAATACCAGGTATACACCCGACATGGCCTTTGGGAGGGCAGTTCTGGGCTCATGCCCGCCTTGAGTTTTACAATCTTTATGTGCTTATCGGTACCGAGTGTTTCCTCGATACCGTGTGTACTGCGAATGTTATTACCATGTTGTTACTTGAAATTTTTTTTGCCGGTGAATGTAGCCGCACCTTCACACTTGATGCCTTACTGCCTGAGGCGCAGGCAGCCATTGCACTATGGCCTAATGGGCGCATCACGGGTATTCTGTGTCGTTATCGATGGCTTTTGCCTTGCTAATGTGTTGTGCACTTGTTAACAAACTGTGTTGTATTACTACTTAATGTGCCCTCATTATAATGAGTGTCTTCGATAATCACCATGTGGTTTATTTCAAGGGTCGTAGGTTTACTCAATTGTTGGTCACCCTCACGTGACCGGGAGGATCACGTACTCCCATATGTTTTATGCACTGTGCCCTTCTTTGGAAGTGATTGCAACTTTTTATTATGCACTATGCCCTTCTTCGGAAGTGATTACAATCTCTTGTTGGTAACTGTTTTGCACTTAATTAAAATTGTTTGGCCCTTGACTTCAATGGTCGGTTTGCTTCTTTCCCGCCTCCGGGACCTAAGCTTGCTAGTCTCCACAAGTGTGCATTCGCAGAGACCACGAAGAAAAATGGTAGGTTACATACCTGTGACCATCTTTCTTCGAGTGGTGCTCTGCGAATTCACACTAACCCGCCCAGCCTCCCCTCTAGCAAACCTCCAATTTCTCGCTACCGTAGCGGCGTAGGAATTGGATCGGTGTGCGCGGGGCGCCCTTTTATCCCCTGCCGGGGCTGGGCGGGGTTACCGCCAAAACTTCAAAAGTTTTAAAATGTAGAACTTTCCGTTGGAGCCCGCGCAGGCGCAGTCTCTCCACAAGTGTGAATTCGCAGAGCACCACTCGAAGAAAGATGGTCACAGGTATGTAACCTACCAATATTAGTTATACAACTGCAGTAAAAGCCATGTGCTGCAGCAGCAGTATATAAAGTGCCATCCCAGTGAAAGACATGAGAAGACATTTCTCTTTGCAGTGTCAGGCAGTCACAATCCTAACATGCATTTGTGTAGATGTCTCTTTCTGACAGCACTGATGTATCTTTCTGCCAAACTGCAGCATGGAATTTATATAAATTATCCCATGGGGTACTTCTCCATAATGTGGTGGACTATTTATGTGAAATCTTATACAATTCAAAAAGATTGATTAAAACTGACATAACATCGAGATTGTGTTGCTGGACTTGGGCTGTAAAATTGAAGTGATGTAAATGTGGGGGAGCCAGTAACATAAGGAATAGGCCCAAAGTGCCTGTGACTGCCAGAGGTTGAAGCTGAGCACTGAGTGCCTAGTAAGAGTCATTCCGTTCTCTGCTTGGCGCTTGGCTGCAATCCTTGGCAGTCACGGACACTTTGGGCCTGCAGGCCACACACACACACACTGTAAAAGAGAGTCTCTTTCCAGGTTACTGCGTGTTGAAAAGTACGGGGGGGGGGGGGGGGGGGGGGGGGGGGGGGGGGTTGCTAACCATTTAAAAAGGTAATGGAGTCTGAAAAAGAGCCAAGGACTGCAAAAACAGCACCAGTGAGCCACAGACTGCATTTTGCTTATCCAGATTCAGAGACAGGAGTTTGTCCCACCAATCCTAACAACTCAAATGAATGCTGGAGAGAGCCTGAGAATTAATGAAATGGTGAGACCCTCTAGCCCTAAAACTGAGGGAAAGTGGATGCCCACCCATTGCCACCAATGGGATGAAAATCAGGTGACCAAACGCTTACCATTCCCACTTTCCTTTTGTTTCGTTGATATTTCCATACCAGAGGGGGCGTACCGTTTCATGCCATCCTAATGGACAGGACAAAACGGAATAACTTTTTAGATACTTAATCCTTAAATATGGCCAAACTCCTATGACTCCCAAAAGCATTAAGGAGTTATGGACACGTTATTAATTATGCCAAAAAATGTAACTGCATTATTTCTCAAAAGGAATGAGATTTATATAGTCTTATTACACACAAACATTGTTTCACAGGTAATATTGTTTGTGATGCATTACTTACAAGTTACAGCATAGTCAAGGGGCCGGTATTTGTGTTATCTGTTTATTTCGTGTTTTGTCAGTAATATAATAGAATACTTCCTCAAAAATGAACAACACTAATGAGAACCTTTAAAACATAACAAGAAACAACTTCTAAACTCTGGAAGACAAGTACAACATCTTCTTTGCAGCAGCTGCTCTGTATGGCAGTCATACTATTTGTTCACTCTATTGATTTGCCCTGTTCTGTGAAAGATTTCCTGGAAGTTGCAGATATCACCATGGAACTACCCATATGGCAGAGCTTTACATGATAGTTACTGAATATAAGAGGAATAAAAGAAACTGCTCTATACTGATTCAGCCTCCTGCCCGTCTAGCTCAGCATCATACCTCTTTCCAGGAAAAGCCGACTTTCCCATATTGAGGATAGACCTTGGCTGCTTCCAGCTGTAAAAATGGGATTAAGGTCGATCTAGAATTTTCAACAGAGAAATGTATTATTGGACAATGTATTATTTTTGCTACTACCACTTCCCCCAGTGATCCTGTTTCCTTTCTCTCTTTTTTGTATATTGCTAAGGATGTTTCCTCAGTGTGTTTACGTTTGTGTTTATGTATATTTATTAATGTGAAATGTATGCCTGTTTTGTATGAATATTTCAGTCTTGAGCTGCAAGTATTATGTTGTCCAGAAATTCACTCATCTCTGATTTCACTGCAAGCCTCTTTGAGCATATTATTACCAAGGGAAAGCACCATGCCAATAAATGAATGGTCAAGTTGAAGTCAGCCCTGTGTATTATATTTCAGACTTGCAAAGCAGAGTTCAGGTTTATGCAAGATTCCTCTGAAGGAATCTCTAGAACAATGAACTTTATTATAGTGTAGTATTTAAGTACATTTTAAAGAAGGGAGAATGGTTCTCTCAAAATGCTGTCTGCTAGGTAAGCTTTGTGAGGAATAACCTACAGGCCCCACATTTTCTGAATTGTTTGTACATATTTTCTCTAGGTAGAGACTTTTGAATTCACATTTTCATAAAACCACAGTAGAGTATCTGTGAGATTTCAAAATATCCTAGGGCATCTTGAAGTTTTTAATCTGTTATTTCCTAACGCTTACCTCAACTCAAGGAAGCTTCAAGGGGCTTTTTGGAAAGCTTGTAAATATCTTTTTTAAAAACAAAATCATTAGGAGAATAGGAATAATAATCATCATCATGAGTCATAACTAAGTAACAAGAGCCACTCCTTCCCTTCCGGTAAAACTCACTACCTCCATAGTGCTGCTGCCCTACAAACCCTCATTTCAGGAAAAGAAAAACAAAGAATAGGTTCAGACCTGCCCTCTCTGCGTGGCAACACAGTACTAAAAAGTGATAGTAAATCATAGTTAAATCCACTGGATTACTGGTTTAAAAGATTAAATTAGGCCAGTGGGGCCAGATTATTGTGCATGGACTTGGATTGCTTTTTAAAAATTAGCGACAGGGAGTTTAACAGAAAAAGAGCAAAACTGTGAGGTGCATAAAGACCTAACTTTAGTAGGATTTTATTCCAAATTCTCAGGATTTCACTGTCTGTGTCTACTACAAAGTAGCCAGATCTTGGGCAAAACTAGGTAAATTCAGCTAGTCGAATAAATTCGACTAGTAGCGTCCCTTTACCTTATCCTTTTAATGTAATGGGAACTAACAAGTATTATATTGATTGCACTCCATGCAGTCATGCCGGCGACATGACTTTGGAGGCATCTATGGACAACACCAGCTCTTCGGTTTAGAAATGAGCACCACCCCCAAAGTTGGACACGACTAGACTTTATGTCAAGGGGAAACCTTTACCTTTACTTTTATATTGATTGATAACACTTGCAATCGGAATTTGGAAATAACTAGTTAAATCTGACTAGTTCTTTTACCCTTTTCTCCAACAGATCTTAACAAATATATTTGCTGGTTAACAGTACTCTTTATTCTTGTGGCACTATGAATGCAAGGCTTTATCCAGTTATGCATTGGAGGAGGGAGACTCAAGAGAAAAATAATGGTTGAAAATGACAGGGATTGCCCTTAGGAGCCCTGCTGAATGCATGCAGAATACTCAATTTAGCATTGATCTTTGAAGCCTATGTTTCTTGAGACTAAATGAACCAGGAGTTAAAGAATGCAATTCTTCAGTAGTGGAGCACTAGTCTAGGCAAGCAAGTGTTCTGGATATGCCCAGAATCACTCAAAGTTTTATAACTTAATAATTCTGCTCCCATGGTAAATTCAGCTCCCATGATCTATCAATTCATCTGTGTGATTATTTGTTGCTGCACCCCAATATTGCAATGGCCTAACATCTTGTGATTGAATTGAATACATGATTCCTCTTTCTTACTTGAAAATTAAATACCCAACAGTGTTTGAATTGAAAAAGAATACCTTAGATGTTGGTGGAAGGGGGTAACAAAGAGGAATAATTAGAAAGGATGACAAATTGCAAAAAAACAAACAAACAAAAAAACACCCACACCTTTTAGTAATGGCTCAGTCAAATGTCTACCCCTTTCACTACATTTAGTGCATTCTGACAAATTCCACTGTGAAAAAACATTATTTTAAAGGACTCTTATAGATGTGGTTTAACATTGTAGGGAATGAAGAACAGCAGGTTTCCCATTGTCCATATGACCAGGTTAAAATTACAGTGAAGTCATTACATCCTTAGGCCACCTGCCCATGGGCTGGTAGCTACTCTCTTCAGTTTGTGATAACTTGCAGCTAAATTTGTTGATACTGAATGATAGCATCCACTACTTATTTTTTATTTTATCTTTGCTGGATCATTACTTGTATGATCAAACACATAAAAATCTTGCAGAATATATTCTGATAGTGTTAAATACTTTCTTACAGAATGAAGAGTTTCCAACTGCAGCTTGTGTCAAAGGAGACAATGGTTCCACTCCTGTCCAAGAAACAGTAAGTACTGTGCAAAATTTTAATCTCTGTGTTCTCTTGTCTATTGATATTAGTTGTTTAGCTTAAAGATTATAATTAATTTTTAAGTGACCTTATGTTCTCAACACAACTTTTTGAAATGTAGTAGCTTTAACTATTTCAGAAGTAATGTCAAGCCAGGATTTAAGGTTCCATAAGTGTCAGCAAAAACTTTCAGCAGGCAACATCTGAATTACCAATTACAATTTGAATGTCATTGGCAAGAATTGTATATGCTATACATTTTCTTGTGAACGTGACAGGAGTTAAGGGAACATATGCAGATTTTTCCATTTGTAACATCACACATTGAAAACCCTTGTAAAGGACCAAAATATTTTTCACATTCCAAGTTTTTATTGCAAAAAATAATCAGTTGTCATACAGAATTACTGGGCAAAACCCCATGTACATTTTTTCAGAAAAGTCTAATACATTTCATATAAGTTATCATAAGAGGAAGCAAGGTTGGTTGTATTAATCTTAACAAAAATCTGTGCTGGCTAGAACTGCAGAACAACATAATTTGGAAGGCAATATTTTCCCACTCTTGCATTTGATGAAGTTACCCTTCTTTAGAAAAATGAGTGAAAACGATTAAGCAAAAACCTTTCTTTCAGTATATGTTTTTGTCCTATGTCTCCAATTGAGGGGCATAGTCAAAGAGAATGCAAAATAAGAGCATTGGTTTCTATTTAAGAATTTTGCCCCTCCAAGTGAAATTTTTCTTCACTCTACAAATTTCCAGCATTTCAAAAAGTAAGGCACATTTCAAAGAGTAAATCATTAACAACTCTAATTCTTACATTTGCTGTGTTTGCATTGTCGTAATCACTTTGACTATTTTTTTTTCTATGGATGGCTAAACTCTGTTTCTAGATGTGCAACTGCAGAATTAAGTGACTGCAATGCTAGAAATTTGTAGAGTGAAGGAAATCTCATGGGGGGAGCAATCTTATAGGGGAGCAATGGCCTCGTTTTGCCATCTCTCCATGCAGACAAACTCTGAAATGAAGTAGGCTCCTGAACACAATTCTAGGAAAGTTAGAATTCTAAGAAAGAAAATGCATCAAACTTTATTTGCATATAAAACTAACAGCTGCTGGTGCTCTTGTTGTTTTTGAAGCTAATCTTGGTGCCTTTGAATGCTCTTAACCCTTTCTGGCATCCCACAGGCCTTTTATCTTGCCTCTCCTGCTGCGTTCCCACCAGCCCCAAAACCTGAGGCAGCCTCAAGCTTTCACCCAAGTGGAGCTTTGGTTACAGCAGCATTTCTATTAGAGGAAGTGAACGCTGGCCTTTTGTCTCTGTGGTACAGTAGTGATAAAGCTGTGGTGGTCTTATCTCTCTTTTAGGTAGTGGCTCTTTACAACTACACAGCGCATCGATCAGATGAACTAACCATCCACTGTAGGGACATTATCCGAGTGTTATACAAAGATAATGACAACTGGTGGTTTGGAAGCCTGGCAAATGGTCAGCAAGGCTATTTTCCTGCCAATTATGTGGTTGGCGAAAGTATGTATAATGCTTTTTTCTGTTGTGTTGTACCTGTGAAGCCTTAACTGTATTTGTATGGCCAGTTCAAATGTTATACATATATCAAAATAAGTGAAGTAGGACTAAATATGAGAACAAACATATTGATTGCTAAAATTTGTATACTACATGCTTATTTGGGTAGCAGCCTTCCAAGGCTTCAACGCAGAGGGTTCCCAGCCTTGTTCTGTGTGATCTTTTATCTGAAAATGCTGAGGATTCAAGCTGTTCATTCAGAGAAAACTCTGAGAATTGCTGAGAAATTCGAGACCACTTTATTTAAAATAAAATTCAGAAATATCAAGCATCATCTGCAGAAGCATATCCCCTTTAATCTCAACATAGGAGAAAATATGACTTCTGCTGCAATGCATGCCCATTATCTAAGAACAAAGAAATCATGTTTCTTTTTTCATAAGTAGTGGTTTATTTACATGCAAACTGATGAACAGTTAGTCAACTAAAATAAATTAATGCATCAAAACAAATACAATTGAGCATTTAAAAAACAAAAACAGTGGCCAGTATAAAATGCAGGTGAACACTAGTGAATCCTTATAGTAAAAAAAAACCTGTGAAACAATTGAAAAATTGGTAATTTCAAATGAGCAACACTAATTTAAATCTATGACTGCCTGTATAAAAGCTTTGCCATTTTCTTGCCTATTTTTATTTATACCTCATTTTTTCTCTCTAAAAAAGAGACCCAAAGCAGCTTAGAGTAAAACCAATATACAATTTAAAACCAAAAATATATACAAACATTAAAATAGAATTAAATATTAAAGGTAATAAAAACCCTTAAAACATATTAAAATATATTCGTAGCTTTTCTTTTCAGCTATTCTACCCATAGATAGTTCTGTTATCTTGCTTACATTCCATAAAGTGGCTATTTGTCATGTAAAATGTTAGGTAATTTGGGCAAAAATAATCAGGGTTTCTGTAACAATAAATATCTGTAAATGTAGGTTTTTTTAAAAACTTCTTGGAACTTATATGACTTCCAGGTTTTTTTTTAATCAAGGTAATGGTCTACTTTAGTTGTTCTGGTGCAAGTGAAGTGTAGTCATCTCTTTGTATCAAGTGTGAGGCAACACATTGGAACAAGTGTGGTAAATCTGTCACTGTCTCAAGTCAGCACAATCCCTATAAGAATAAGAATATGTTTCCTTTTGCGAAGCCTTCCTACTAGTAATCACTGTGAACTGGTCCAACTCATGTTAGGGCTAGTCTCCACACCAGAGGGCACTCTGTACAAAAGTCTATCTATGACATTTGCTTCCAGTTAATGCTGTTCATGTACCTCTATATCTCATGTGATGAGAACCTTAACAGTTTTAAGGGAGGCATATGTCTTAAACATGAAAGCAGCAACTGAGAGAAAAGGCAGACGACACCGCATTTTTCTCTGTATTTTGGAAGTGTCCATTTCAGTTTAATGTATTTACATATTAAGACATTTCTATATTTGAAAGATTGTAAGATCATTTGCAGTATTTAAACCCACAAAACAATAAAATGTGATAATGAGGCGATAATAATTTCACTGAAATCACCAAATTCTTGTTTTATGTCACAGTATTGATTATGGGAATACATGTAAAGACTTTGTAGTTTTTTTTCTCTATATCATATGCAGAAGTCCTTGGGTTGGTACAAAATCAATAGCACTGAGTTGTAGCAATGCATATATAGAGTAGCATTAAAATCTGCCAATCTAGGCCATGGAGGAACTGACCCAAGAATGCTGTGTATTTAATTAGATGGTCCATTGAATGCCCTTTCAAGCTACAGTGCTTAATAAGTTCTGTTTTAATTTCAGCACAATATGAGGAACAACTTTCTCCAGGATTAGCAGGAGATTCAACTCCGCTTCTATTTAGTGAATTGGCAGAAGGCACATCACCAGCCGTGCCTGAGGTAATAATTTGGGAAGAAGGGTATATGCCATACTTATGCAAAATTGGATTGCTTGTGGTAATAGATTAATTGCCAGGTGCTTCCAGCACAAGGTAATTTTAATGTGTGGACTTGCTTGGATTTAGCCATTCTCAAAGAGTATAAACCCAGAGGTTATTATGCCAGCAAAATCTGCTGGGAAATATTTCTTATGAAATTAACTGAGATAATACTATTGTTACAAATTAGGTGGCCTGATTGTTCAGCAAATATAGAATCTTAGAAACATAGAGGTTCCCATGGACCATTGAATCCAGTCCCAGCTCCACCCAGGATCTCCAGCTGAAGCAGCTCTCTCACACAACCAGAGAAGGAGACCACACCAACTCTACAACCAGTTGGTTGCTGAACTGCTTTCTGTCAAAAAAAAAAATAGTCCATAACGACAAATAAAATGAAAGCTGAAATGGTTAATTTTATTGCAAACTAGTTTATTACCCATATTTATTATTCATATCTCGTGGTAAAGACAGCGTTACAGTGGGTGTCCTGTGTTTTGTAGACACAGGAAAAGTCCTGAGCCCTCTTACAGGATAATTCATTCTTCTGGACAAAACTCTGCCCATGGGAAGTAAAAAAATACTGTGGGGAACTGTGTGTTGTGACCTAAGAAACAAACTTTGTGCAGTCTTTTAATAATTTGGTTACACTATCAAATGTAATTAGGCTGTTCATCCCATGTCCCCAGATGTGTTTGACAAGAAAGCATAGCATAATAGGAAAACCCAATTGTCTAGGTTGCTGCAAAAGGGATAAAGGCACAATGCAGTGATAGCTTTAGTTTTGCAAGTTGAACATGGTTGCCTGTCCAAAACTATATTCAATCGGCTGTTGTGCTTATTAAAAATGGAAATGCAACTACAAAAGTCCATTGTTTTCTTCTCAAAACATTGTGCTTTACCCCATGAAATCTAATATCTGGTAAGTGCACGTGAAGCTCCCTTTTCCACACGTATGCTCATTAATATCAAGAAAGCAATTCTGAGAGCCAGATTAGACATAAAGCCTTTTGAAAAGTGGCAATGGATGTGTAAAGTTTTCAAATTATGCTGCAGTTTGCAACGTTAGCAGCCTCTGGGTCTTTGTGTGTGTGTGTGTGTGTGTGTGTGTGTGAGAGAGAGAGAGAGAGAGAGAGAGAGAATGTGTAAGAAGGGGAAGATTTATCTCTTTTGCTCCTATGTATGTTACAAGGAAAGCCTCAAACACTCCACCCGAATCCATTCATGATCCTGAGATAGTTCAGACTTCTTTCAGCTTCTCACTACATAGCAAAAACATGTATTAATTAAATTCAGACAATGGATACCAAGTATAGTTTGACTCTCAGTGCACATTTCTTTGAACCCACAACAAATGAATGACAGTTATTGCTCCCACCATGAAGAAGATGTTGGCTGCTTTTTAGGTGAGACAGAAAATCTGGTATATCAGGAGCCCCATCTGGTCAAACAGTGGGCTCCCATATAGTCAGGGAAATTGGTACTACCCTTTCTCCCTCTTGTAGTGTAATACCATGGTATTGGCAGAGCAGGAAAAGTTAATCATCCAGGTCAACCCTGTGAACAAAGAGATGAAAAGACTTTGAGAGACTGAACACACCTGAAATGCACCTGAGAAAGCATAGCAACAACAAAAGGAAAAGGTAGTTTTGGACTTAGCAAGAGACAAATCTTTTCCTCCCAGAATAAGCCAGCCAGCACTTAGACTAGCCCGTTATACCTTGTGTATATCATTTAGAGAGTACTTTGGGTTTATCATATTAGATGAGTGGCAGCTTTACTTAACTAAGCATGTTGCTTGCTTACACCTTAGCCCAACTATTCGTTTTTACTCTTTATTCCCCAATTTTAAGAACAAAGAACATGAATCTCTGGATTGGGGCATGGAACATTTGGGGCGGGGGGAAGAGAGACATCAATGCTTCACTCAAGGTAGCTTACAACATATAAAATTATTGTAAAAAAATCACAGCAACATAGTCACACATTCACTGACCATATAGTCACCTTACCTACAAATAGTGGTTATTGAACAATAATATTTTTAGGTCACACTGCATTAGTCTTCAACAACTGCAGTGAACATCAGCCAGTCTATGAGATAGAAAATCAATATTTTATTTGAGTAATCAGAACTGAAATGAACACATTTTTTTAAAAAAAAAGATGTTTCTTTGTGTGACTGCATGTAAAAGTTAACTGATAATTTCTGTATCAATAAAAAGTACACTAAACCACATCAAAGAACATATATAGTAGACAATATCAGATGCTGCCTGAATTGTCAGTGAAACTCAGTAGAGAGCATTTTATTTTTCTCATGATCATCCAGGGGTTATCATATGCTTAAACGTCAGCATAGAAGTGTGGCATTCTGACCATATTTTGAAGAATTTCACGTGTCCTGAAGGGGTTTGGTACTTATAACTGCTACCCCACCTCCGCACCACATGCCAAGGTTAGGGGCATTCTGAAACCTGGGGGAGTTTTGAAACCTGGAGGAGGTTTTCAAGCAGTTGTGGTGTCACATGAGAAGCTCCTGTTTGAGAAGAACACATAAATTCAATATGTTTTTTTTCCAGTATTTATTTTCTGTTGACTGCATGTAATAATAATAATAATAATAATAATAATAATAATAATAATAATAATTTGTTTTAAAGAAGAATAGCAATAAAACCATACAAAAAATTTAACAATGCTTTTTTAAAAAGGAACAGAAAAGCAAAGCAGATCAGGGAACAATCATAAACTTGCCCCTATTCAAACTGAGGCACAGGGGTGTCAGACTCATTTTTACTAAGGAGCACATCAGCTTTATGGTTGCCTTTAAAGGGCCATTTGTAATTGTAAAATTGTACAAATGTTACTATGTTGACCTGATATTGAACACTTTGTGAGCCACTTAAAATGGCATGAAGGCTGGATTTGGCCCACGGGCCTTTTGTTTGACACGTGCACAATAGGGCATGGCAGAAATGCACTAAAGCCAATGAAGAAGAGAACCTGCCAGCACTTGGGCACAGAAAAGGTCTACAGGCATAGATATACTTCTAGTGGTATTCCTGTCAGTGGTAAGGTAAAAATTGGGGCTTTCCATGGGCATACTGGGAATAGTCATGACTTCACAGGATTAAATATCCTCATCAGATCCACAGAATAAGCTAAAACTAAAGCAGCCTTGGAACTGGAATTAATTCCTATCTCACTGTGAACACCAAAAACACCAGCACGAAAAGAAATGTCAGTCTCTTGCTCTGGCCACATTCAGTTGGCGGGACTATGACTGCAGCAAGTTCTTTCTTGCCAGGTTATGTGGGATAACTTTGTTATAGATAATCTTATGCAGAAGTCAGAACAAATGTTTTGTTTTATACCTATGTAATATCAAGCAAATGAGATGAGACCTGCTGCATCCTCTCACCTCTGTTTCTTGCAGCAGTGGGGTCCAGAGTAGAACTTCAGAAGATTTGTATCAGTCTAAATATAGTGAGCAAACTAGTAAACTTTTTTATTCTTTTGATAATTTCCTGAGGGATATGTAACAAAGAAATTTGTTCTATACATTGGATGGATTTACCTACCATTTTTGCCATGGCATATAATTAATATTGTTTAGTATTAAGTGATTTTCTCTCAAAATAAAGTTATTAATCACAATTACATTGGCCAAAATATATGAAAAATACAGGTAAGATAATCCTTGCTTAAGACTCACTGAAGTATGGGTTGATAATTCTGTGTGTGTGTTTCTTAAACACACCTGAACACTTCAAGGGTTTTTTAAAGCTGTGAAACTGTTTCCTCCCTTTTAACCGCATACAATGAGAATTTCATGGGTGACAAATCTTCTATAAGAAGTGAGGTATATTCTGTCCTCATTCAGGAAGCCCGTGGGTTTTTCATTAAACATGTGTTGACCCCATTTTATTTCTCTTTGCCCTGCTTTCCCCTATAATGATTAAAGTTTTCCTCTTTTTGCAGATGTCAGCAGTCATCAGCCAGTCAGGAGACCAAAGATTTATTCCAGAGAATGACACAGACTACTTGACCAGACAGTAAGCATCCAGTTTCCTTAAGCAGTCTGGTTAATTCCATTGCTTCCATGGAGCTGAAATTTTTTGTGTACATGTTGTATGTGCGTGGGTGTTCCTTCATGTCACCTGTTGACTTATGGCAACCTCATGGATTTCAAAGAGTTTTCTTAGGCAAGAAATTTTATAGAGTTTTCTTGCACAAGGAATATTCAGAAGTGGTTTTGCCAGTTCCTTTTTCCAAAAAATAGCCTACAATACCTTGTATTTGTTTGCAGTTCCCCATCCAACAACCTGCTTTGTTTCCAAGATCAGATGGGATCTGATGCCTTTAAGGTATTTTATAAACTGATATTGGTTATCTAGTTCCTGGTTACACTGTCTTCAAACTATTTCAGTGTGTTCTCCGTGGAACTGCCCTTGAAAGAATCTGGAAACTTCAATTGGTGCAAACTGTAGAAACTAAGTTGCTAATGAAGTGCACAGAACTGTCAGAAGTGACCAACAAATACATCAAGCACAAATCCACCTTTGATTTTGCCACCATTCTTCCTGCAGTTGCTGAATTGAATGGAATCTGCCACTGCTGGATGGGGGCAAATCCACCTTTGATATTTCTACCACTTTCCCCATAGCTTTTCCTAGTTGAACTTGGAGCATCTGCAAGAGGAGAATTTGTTAAATTACATCAGTATTGAGGTGTCTGCATTAATTGCCATTGGTTTTCAGCGTTCTGTTACAAGTGTTGTTTCTAAAATCAAAATCTGGGAATGGCATAGTTCCCACCTGTTCTGAGAGACTACTGTCTCCAGGTACTGCTGCTCAGTTATTAGCACAGGCAGGAGAAGGCCTTTCAATTACATTCTGAATTTCAGAGCTCTTCTTGTTGGACACAGACCTTTTCAGTTGCCAGGTCTGGAACACATTTTGTCTGGATTTCATATAGATCATCTGCATTTAAGAAGAGAGTCAGGCCCCTTCTACATTGCCATATAAAATCTAGATTATCTGCTTTGAACTGGATTATATAGCCGTGTAGACTCATATAACTCAGTTCAAAGAAGATGATGGTGATTATCCGATTTGATAATCTGGATTATATAGCAGTGTAGAAGGGGTCTCAGTTCACATCTTGTCTCCTTTAAATTTTGTTTTATTTTATTTTTCCTTTTGTTTTATGCTTTTACCTGTTTTTTTCAACTTCCCTACATTGGTAGGTTTCAGAAAGAGATTATACAAATATCATCACTAAATACTTGAATAGTTCAGGGAATGTTTAATAGAAAGATAAAACACAAACATTATGTTATACACAATAAATAGAGTATTTTGAAGTTTTACAGTCATCTGTTCAGCAGATACCTTATTTACAATCAAAGTAATATTTCTTATAACGAAGGTTCCAAGTCATGAGTTTAAGACAAACAGAATTAGGATCAGTGGTAGAAGAATATAGCCAAGAATATTCCATCCAAGGATGATTTTTTAAAAAACTAGGTAAAAATGATAAGGGACAAAAACTTTGTGAACTGGTAATCAGTAAGTATACATCATCCAATCGATTACAAATCTATTTCTTAAAGTGACCAATGATTCTGTGTTATCCACTTACTTGGAAAATGAAAAGGAGATGCAGTTCTTAAGTGCTTAAAGAGCAAGATGGAATATATCTACACTGAATAGTTGAAGCAGTTTGGAACCATGTCAGTCATGACTTCATGTTTTAGAATCTTGGGAACTTTAGTCTGGTGATAGAATTATTTATCTTCCCCAAATAGCAGGCATTCTAAGTCTTTCCTCACTAAACTACAAATCCCAGTACTCCAAATTCTGAAACAAAGATGGTTCAAGTGATATTAGACTGTTATAACTGTGTACACAGTGTAAATATACTTTTAAGTTGCACTATCTATTAGAAATGTGTGATCCATTAAAAACAGTTCAAAGGTCATTACAGATCTGGAGAGGGACTGTTTCTAAAGTATTTCTAAAGTATAGTTAGTGAAAAATTTGGTTACTGTAATAAGAGTAATGAAATTTCTTTACTATTTCATTCAAGTAATTGTGTATAAATTACTAGAATTGGGGAAACTGCAAGGACTCCTTCCTTCCTCAGTTTTAAAGATATTGGGGTGAAACTTACTGCAATGGTAGAACACATTTATCACTGTTAGCCCATCAAATTTCAGAAAGTTTCTCTGATCCACTGATTTTTGGGAAATTTTCAAAATTTCTATAAACACTTTAAAAAAACTACAATAGAGATCTCCCTGAATTTTCTATACAATAACAGGAGATAACGGGACCATTCTCCCTAACTTTCAGAAATATTCATACATTTAGGGATTTTTAAAAAACGTTTTGACAAAACTTTTTTTAAAAGCTACAACAGCTATTTTATTGAATGTCTCTCATATTAACCAATATAAACCAGTATTGACCAATTTCACATTTACATGGAATCCTGGAGTTGGAGGGGATCCCCAAGAGCCATCTAGCCCAACCTCTTTCTTCCAGACAGAAGGGCACCATCAAACTCTACTGACAGATGGCCATCCACTCTCTAAACTAATTAATATGCTTCCCCTATAGTATGGGAACCATCCATTTAGGAATTTCTTCCCAGTCCATCACAGAGATTTGCTTACTAGAAGTATCCATCAGTCCTCTTTGTTGCAGATTCAAGCATTCACCGGAACTTTCACTAACTACTGTTAGGGAGGGAAAAATCTTGCTTTCTGCTACCTTGATTGGTGCTTTCTGATGCTGATGCATTCTGGGAAATGTAGTTTAGGACAGGGCTTTTTGAATTCTCTGGCATAGAGCACCTCCCCAAACTACATTTCCCAGAGTTCTGTGCTGTTCCAAGCAAACATTGCTCCCTCTTTTCCTCGCTCCTAAAGACAAGACTCAATTAATTTAGAGAAAAGGCAATACAAGGCACTAAGGCAGCCTTTTTGGCTTGGCTTTGCTTCCTTGTGCTGAAAAGGAAATTGATTTTGGCAACCTTCTGAGATTTACAAAAGGTAAGTTTTGATTCTTAAAGTTTTGGCACGGGCCATGCCCACATGTCGAATATTGCCTCGTAAGTACAAAATTTAATGAATTTGATCCTAATTATGAGGCAAACAAAGAAAATGCACACCTCTACTATCTGTAATGAACATGTCTGCTACAGGAGTTTTGACAGGCATGCAGAGTTGCATTTATGGAATCCATATCTTCCACTGAAAATCTAAAAATACTTATCTTATGCATCTGCTCCAAAATATCCTTTCTGAAAGCACTTCAAACACCATTTTCTTGTTCTTTCATCATTGGTATGTCCCAGAATGAGATCATGTAACCTACAAAAGTTGAATGTAAAAGCCATTATTTTGGAAAGAATGGAAAAGAAGCCCAGTCCACATGGCTATAGGCTAAGAAAAATAATATTTAACCTGTTTTTATCATAGAGGTGCAAGGAGGAAAACAAAGAAGAAAGCTATGCATATGGAGGAAAAAGAATACAAGACTAATGTAATTATGCATGATGACTTCTCATCTAATGCTGTTGAGAATGAGTTTAAGAAAAATCTGATGATGAAAAAAAAGAAGAGGTCTGCGAAAAACACAAATGGAAGTGGAACATCTAATGATGCCTTCCAGCTGGATTCTCTCAACACGTAGTATCCATTTGGTTCTTTGGTGTTGTTTGCGAGGATAAAATGCTGTGTGGAAAATATGGTATTAGTGTTTGTTGTGGGATGATTCTCTGACATCACTGAGAACATGAACTATTGTTATACACATAAATTTACCCACAATTATTATCAATTTATCATAGGATTGCTGGCACATAGAGCTAAATAGAAGAATGTGGACTGAATTTTCCACAGAAACTCAAGAGACATTAATGCATCCATTATAGCATTGGCGTTTTCCCACAGTATAAAGCATGTTGAAATAGCTTGCTATGCAAACTAATGAAACAGGTAACTAATTTGTATTATGCCTGTTCGAGCCAGTGAATCAAAATGTTCTAGGAGTAGATTGTTTTAAAGTTGAAGTAACATTCACAAACAGAGAAATTGGGTTTCTGATGAATATAGGTGTCTTAAAATTGAACAAAAACAATTTAACTTAGATAACTGAACAATTTTATATTTTTTATGAAGAAAAAAAACTAGGTAGGAGTTTGAGTATTTTTAAAAATAAGACCCTTTTCATCTTCCTGCTGCAGAAATATTTAGGATATCGGTGTCTCATTATTTGAATCTACAAATGAGAAACCGCAATAATACAACTGAATTTCTATATAAATCAATTCCAGGAATCACAACTAAACAATACAATATAATACAATAATAGCTTTTGTGTCTTGTCTTTTTAAAATGAAAGCTTTTAGTGTTAATATATTTTATTAATACAGATGTATTGGAGCATGCCTTTTGTAATACAAAAAGGTTTTATAGAGTTCTATTTTTGCTGCTCTCAAAGCAGTTTTGATGAATTTCTTCCCCTTTATTTTGAAGAACTGTTTGACATTGGTATGTGGGTGAGGTATATTTTTATGTAGTATGTTTTATGTTTATCCTCAGGTGTAAGTGTTTTTAAACTATAAAGCATTAAGTTATGAATGATTGATTAATTATTATTTCCGGGAGTTTTATTTAAGATCCCCTTGTTTACATATGTTGACTGTGGGCGTCCATGTTATTTATGCTATCTTAGGAAATTCTGCCCCCTTCCTTTCTAAAGCAATAAATAACATAAAATTAGAAACCTCTTTTTTTAGTAGTCATGGCATTTGATTCCATCTAAAAAAAAGAAGTGAGACTAACTACGTCGACCACTGATCTGCAAAATAACATCCAGATGCAAAGGATTATGTTTCGAATATTATAATTTCATCCTCATAACATTTTCATTAAATGTAGAAATACTTCTGTCTGTATAAAACTCAAGAGTCTCATTTCAAAATCTTGTGCAAATGAGAAAGCATTGTACTAGCCACTCTGGATGTAACACGTAATTTAGTTTCAAGCTGTTTTTAAACTTCAGCAGCTACAAAACACATGCCAGCAAAGTGTACTGCAGCACAAATTAAGGCCTTTTAAAGCACACCAAGACCTAAATCTAAACCATACTGCACGTTGAAATTGGCTCTGAATAATATAAATTGCATTATAGACATCCACCTATGCTGGAGAATTTTGAAAAATTTGGAATGAGAGAGGGGTTGCTGAAAAACCCCAAGAGCATAATTGGGCAGCAGGGGGCAAACACATCTTAAGGGACATAATGAATTACCTCCATTGCTAACTATCACCTTCCCGTTTTTTAACCTCATATACCTCTGAAACATAGGTGCACATCTTGACCATAAATGGGGGAACACATTCTCCGGCAGCCACCTTCCATGATCAGTGCAATGACCTCTCTGGCCTCAAACCTGTTCCCAACATGTTATTCTAATTATCCACACAGCAAAACAGGTTTCCCGCAAACCAGTTCCAAACCCTTCGCCACAATATAAGCCAAAAAGCCACATATGGGACCTGTAGCCCAACAGTAGCTTCCTTCAGTCCCTACTGATACTGATCCCTTTTAATCCCTACTGCTACCAAAGGTTAGTCCTTGTTCCAGAATAATCCACAGACTTCCACTTGCCCTGCCCATCTCACAGTGAAAGCCATCCAAGGCTGTTTCATTCCCAAGACCAAGCTGGGACTTAGAATGGAATAGCTCACACCTTGGGTCCCCCAATTTCTTGAATCTTAGACTCCTTGGCCATTGGTTTCTGGAACTTGAAGTCTGATAACATGAGTATTCTCAGTTGGATAACTCTCATTTAGCGAAATGCTGCTGTGCGTATGATATGTATTTTTCAGTACGACAGTTGATTGTAAACATTAAATATTTGTTCACTTAAAGTTTAAAGGACTAAAATTCCATTGTTATACGATATGGAAATAACATTTCTAATTATTCTGCTTAATATTCTAGGATTATAACATTCTCCTGCTGCTATTTGCACTTCTTTTTCTTTTCTTTAAACACAGTCTCTGGTTTTGAAAGTCAGGGACTGAGCATGACATCACGCTACGTATTGGGGAGAGTGGAGAAGTAGCCAAAGTCTTGCTGCTCGCTTGGAAGGCATTGTTAACTATTAATTTGACATTGTGGAGAGTGAAGATAGAAATAACACTTCACATAAACACCATAGAGATGTGGTTGCTGTAATCAAAGGCACAGCGCCTCCTTTTATGCTTGCAAACTGGGGCTCCAATTATGTTCACTGCTCTGAAGCTGAATAGAGCTGCTTTGCCACACTTTCCAAATTGAGAGAGGAGAGGCAGCAGCAGTCTCTTCTAAGGCACTGTTCCAAATAACAATTAAGGGGAGAAATCAGATAAAAGACCAACGTGAAGATTTGTGAAGCTGAAAACATACTCTCCCAAAATGGTGTTGTCGCTATTGTCGTTATGACAAAAGTGGGTTTTATTTGCATTCATCTTTCCTTCCAAGTCATAGGAGTTAGGTTTTTTTTACTGCTTTACATTCTTTAGGTGCAAAATTAATAGCTACCTGACTTTCTTTGTTACGTCAAGTACACAGATATGTTTTGAACAAAACAGCATGTAAATTCAGTGCCAAATGTAGACAGTAATATTGTCTTAATATGACTCTTTTCTCTAAAAACAAGAAAATGTTAGTACACATAACAAAAACTAGCTCATATCATTGTTCCTGCCCTTTTCAGATATTAAGCTGACAAACTAAAAAAAACTTTTCAAAGAAAAAAATGCATTCCCAGAAACAACTACAGGTGGTGGTGGTAGTGTTGGTGGTGTTTAGAATATGAAGAGATGCTAGTAACTTTCTCGGGTATTTTATTTTTCACTACTAAGGTAGACTTTCCATCCATCCTTCAATGACGTCTGGTGTGTGTGAGTGTATGTAAGAGAGATGAGGAGAATAAGTAGTTTATTATTTAAATTTATTCTTGACAGTTTTGCTTTGTTAGTGACTGTCTGTATATAGTCTTGATATGATATGTAATTTGTAAGCTTGGTTCCTTAATTTTTTATCAGGTTTGTCAATATAATTACAGTGCATGAATAGTATCCCCTCTCACATACGTGTGATATCCCAGTAATAATTACATTTATAGTCTAGATTGCATACTCCATCTGAAATATCTATAAATTCAAGTAGCATTATTTTATACGCAAACCTAAATAAATTTTATTTTTTCTAAAACCAGTGATATTGTAATATTTGGAAGCAAACCCATGTTTTATTGGTATTGCAAAAGTTATTAACATAAATAAATTTAAAAGAACACTGTGTAAGAACATAGGACCTATGCTAGAAATCTGCATGGTTTAGGCTGCAGTCCTGTTCACGTATACTTGGAAATAAAGCTAAATGAATACAACAGGGCTTGCATTTAAGTAACTATACAGTTGATTTTGCTACTGTACAACTATTGTTCAAGACATAAGCATGTACTGTTGATCTGGCATGAAAAACCAAGGCTTTGACATTGCTGGACCACAAGTTTTCAGATTTCCTAGGCCTAGCCTGATTGAGGGATTCTGCAAATTGTAGTCCAAAAGTGTTACTTTACAAAACTCTGTGAAAGGTTCATGAACACTCAGCAGGAAAGAGTTTGAAAGAATCTTATTCTAAATATAGAGTTAATTATAAAAACTGCTTTCAGAGTTCAGCAGGTGACATTCAAGACTTGGAAAGTTTATTCCATTACTCATTACAGCGTTTAAAGGGTATCCAATGGCCCCTATTTATTTTGCTGAAGATAAAAGGTAATTCATCACTTCACTGTTTGTGTTGCTCATTATTTTTTTCTATTACTTCCCTTACGTTTCGAATGGGAAGAAATGGAAGGCTGATTTTTAGAATGACATGAAACTTGAAAAATTATTGAAAGATACCTTAAAATAACTTTCAGAAATAACGAAAAACAATTATCATTGCAGCAGTAAAGTAACTTCACTCTTACTTGTTATATTGCTGAATCCTAACTCTATGCCATCATGATCATCTCAAAAAAGTAACTAATTGGGATGATTACTTGTAACTTCCAGACTCTAGTTAAATATATATGGCCACAGTGGGAAAGGAAGCATTAATTCTATTGAAACAAATAAAATTGTGAATGTGCTTAGTCTCATTTATGCTTTATGTAAATGTATACACTTCATTTGCCTGACACAATCTTTTTCATCAGATGTTGTATTTGTTCTTTTCTGTGCCCAAATGCTTGGGATTTTATTTTCTTTAAGGACTGCTCCATCTAACATGTGGCTGTTTCCGCAAAGACGCAGCAAACAGCGTAGACAAATGATTAAAATGTTGAGGAAGAGATGACACATATGTCCTTGCCGTCTTCTACAACCATCATGTTGCATTTGGGTTTGGCCTGAAAAGTCTTTTAAGGAGCAGACATGGCAAATCAGAAGCCGGGTACTTGTAGCATCACTTAATTCAAAAGGCAAAAGGGGATGGATCACAATCAAACAAGGGCTAATGAGAACACAGAGGAACATGACAATTGAGAGTCTCCGTTGACTAGCGAACTAAGTCCGCCGGCTGGACCCAATTGTCTGCAGAAGAATTGGATGTCAGGATCATTTAGGGTTAACAATGGTCCAATACAAGCAAAAGCAGACAGCTATGAAAAATAGCCGGCATGGTAGCCATTCTGCACAGACCAGGGACACAAACTTGATAATGAGGCACTGCATTCACTACATCCTTCTGCTCTAATTACTGAGGTGAATAGGAAATACTTAATCTAAGGCGGGAAGAGGATAAAGAAAAAAAACTTGTTTTGTAAACACAAATAGGAGAGTGTTTTTTAAAGAAACTTTTCTGGTGCATATGGAATTACTGTAACCAAGCCTATGTTAGCAGGTGCCATTTATTAAATATTTGTCATCAGTAAATAACTGGGAGTTGTAGAAAAGGAACTGTTCCATAGACAAAAATTTTAGAAGGTAACTGTCCGATGTGATTATTTTTTTAAGTCATAGATGTAATTGTTATCCTGAATTCTTAGTAACTGGGTTAAAAACAATTTGTAAAAATCTATTTCTGTACATAATTGAACAATTTGCATCAACGGTTATAAAGGAACATGTTATGGTCTTTTTAAAAAAGTACATTTGTATGTTACAGAGTTGTAGGTATTGGAGAAGAGGGGAATGAAGGCATAGCCCGCAATATAAATTTTGGCAATTTCTCTTTAAAATGCTTTTCTCATCTTTAAAAATGGTGCCACACAGGTTATCACCCAAAAAAAGGAAAATAAATTATTTATTTATTATTTCATGCATTTCTACCCCGTCCTTCTCCCCCAAAGGGGGACTCAGGGCGGCCAAATTATTTTCTTGTTTTAGTCCCAAACTGGCAATCTCATATATTTAAACATCAGAGCAGAAGATATCATCTCATAGTCATTAATATCTAACGGTTTTCAATTTTGTTAAGGAAATCCAAAGTTAGGGTTCCTTGATTTATTACAGGTATTCCCTGAATTTTGTTTTGTTTCTCTGCTTTATAGTTTTTATTATTAATAGTAAATGAAGGAAAGCTAAACAAGAGCATTTTTCACTTGGAAGAAAAATACCATCATGTCATCTTTACTTTTTCATGATGTTGCATATGGAGTATAACTGTGTGGATTTGCTCAGTAATATGATGGCAGAGAGTATGGCAATTCTTTCAGTATGGCCCAGAAGACATGAAATGATTGTACTTCCTTAATGGTTTAGTCTGGCTAAAGATCAGTCACATTGGGGTATTCTTGACTGGAGGCTGGGTTCCTACACCACACTTGTGTATGTAAATGTTGTTCTATGCACACACAGCCCTCTCTGCTAAATACTGACATTGCACATCCAGCTGCATATCTGCAAATGGTTTTGCACATTGACCCACTGTGCAATGGAGAATCCACTATGACTATTTGTTGCAAGCAAATCCCAGTAAATTAAGTGGTACACGGGGGCACTGACCAACACCATCCAAGAATGTGGAATAGTTACACTTACAGAATTTCACTTACACAGTCATAAACTGGATACTTCTGTTTTATGGTGGCCTCTCCTCCAGCAGAACTCATGTGTATGTATAGGACCAATAGGATTCTGGCAAGAGTTTCGTTTCATCTCCCTGTGGATCCTTCTGAACAGGTTCAATATGTGTATATAACTGTTTTTGGAAATTGCAGGGTCCCAACAACTGTCTGGACCCACCTTCAATAAAGGATTCCTACCCAATTCATGAAAACAGAATCTTGGGACTAGTCCTAGCTGGCATTTTAAGTTCTCACAATACCTGCAATGAAGATTCATTCTGGAGTGCTATAGAAATTAAACAGTATCTTCCATCAGACACCCCGCTTTGCTGGCATCTACTACCACTGCTACATTTTGACCAGTGGCTCTGCTTGTGAAACCTGTTGTGCTTAATTGGTTGCTGTTTTGTGCTTTGGAAGAATTATCTTTCTCCATCCAGTGTTGAGGTATTTGTATCTTGTGAATCAGAACTTGGAAAACTGCCCTTGCTGACCGAGAAATTAGGACAGTTACATTCTAAATATGTAACTTTTCCCAGTTCTGTTGTGACTACACTCCTTAATAAAGATCTCTTGCATCAGAAAGAACTGGATTCAGGAGGCTACCTAATCATAGCTGGTTACTGAATTATAGATTCTTCACCTCCAAAGCACATGAACATTTTTCATGATCTGTTGTAAAGAAATATTATTATTCTCGTGGTCCCTCTTTGGTTACATATAAGTTTAAAATCACAGTGACATCTTAAACTAAAATTGCATTTTAAAGAGCATTGTCTAGGTGGTTGACAAACTCCCTTTTGTGTGCATTAAGCTTGTGCTTGTCTTTTACTTGAACAATGCCTCTTAGCAGTAAAGACATACATGAATGCATGCAAAAAAATACCCCATTCTTTAGTTACACTTCTATAGTTAGGCAGCCTGGGAGTACAGCAAGTAAGCAGCAGCTGTAAATTTTCAGAGGATTTATCTAACCACAAATACAATGAAATGGGGAAATGGGGCTATATTAAACTCTGCAAGATGCTGCTGGAACCTAGCCACTTCTGCAACATCCTGTAATTAATTTATTATGACAGGTCTGGCAAACTGAAACTCCCAATTCACTTGCGACAAACTTGCTACGATATAGTTGTCTGAAAGTCTGTAGTCACAAAAGGGACAGGTGACAGTGACCAAATATGGCTGAGGCATACAAAAACACAAATGTAAAAACTATCTTTCCCATGTTCCTGCTGCAACAGTACTTGGCCAATGGCATTTACTGCCCAAAGTGAAGTCCTTATGCCCTTTGCCAGAGGCAAAAGATGTTGCACCTTGACTGCCCCATTCAGACATAAATTCATGCTTCTCTCTTCTTCATAATGTTGCCTATGTAGATTGCAAACTCTGTGTTTCCAACCCTTTATGGAAAGAAAAGAAGTATGGTGAAGACACTTGTCAAGGGTTTACTTCTATAAGGCTTTCAAATATAAATGCTGACCTTATTTGTTTAGGTTTCTATCCCATTTTTCTCACCAGACTGTACTCCAAGGTATTTCAGAGCAAAATTATAAAAGAAGCAAAACTAATAATAATACTTTACACTTGTAATACTTTACAACTAATATGTAAAAGCTTACAAAAGTTTATAATGTTACAATGGTAATTACATATACCAAGAGAGGAATTACAGAGACTAAGATCTTCTGGGGAGGTCCTGCTCTCGGTCCTACCACCGTCACAGGCACGATTGGCGAGGACGAGAGAGAGGGCCTTCTCAGTGATTGCCCCCCGTCTATGGACCTCCCTCCCTGGCAAGATTAGATCAGCCCCCTCCCTCCTGTCCTTCAGAAGGATGGTAAAAACTTGGCCTGGGACCAAGCCTTTAGACAGTGCAATAAGGCAGTAATAGGAAACCCACTCCACTGACCGGAGCCGGTATGGTTGTTTTAAGATGGTTTTAAACAAATGATTTTAAAGTAAATATAACTGATTTTAGTGCTTGTGTATATTTATAGTTAATTTTATGTTCCGGCATTGAATGCTTTCCATATATATGTAGTGCTCCGCCCTGAGTCCCCTTCGGAGTGAAAAGGGCGGAATATAAATGTTTTAAATAAATAAATCTACTGTAATTAAAATATTAAATTGAATGCATGTTTCAAATTTAAAAAAA